ACCCAAACAAAATTTATGTCCTTTTTTCACACAAATAGAGCTTTCTTTCGGTGGTATTTGATCACCTGTGCGCTTTTCATTTTTTGCTATAAGCAAAAAAAGACTGAAAATTTTGAAGAAAAACAATATTTTTTTACTTTTGACTATAAAAAATATATAGTAAACTCAAAGTTAGTCATAAATTTAGGCCAAAATGTATTCTGCTACATTTTTTAGGTAAAAAAATCCCAATAAGTGTATATTGGTTGCTTTGTGTGAAAGTTATAGCGTCTACAAACTATGGTATAGATACTGCAATTTACGCCATTTTTTGCTATACAGCGCTGCACTAGTTTAACGGACAATCGCGCAGTCATGCAATATGGTACAAAAAATGAAATTTATGTCCTTTTTTCACACACAAATAGAGCTTTCTTTCGGTGGTATTTGATCTCCTATGCACTTTTTATTTTTGGCGCTATCAACAAAATAAACTTTTGGAAATTTTTTTTTTTTTTAAATTATATTTTCTCATTTCTGTCATAAAAAATATCCAAAAAACTCAAATTTCATCATAAATTTAGGCCAAAATGTATTCTGCTACATGTTTTTGGTAAAAATATCCCAATCAGTGTATATTGATTGCTTTGTGTGAAAGTTATAGCATCTACAAACTATGGTATAGATAATGGAGTTTACGCAGCTTTTACTTTCTGACTGCCTATCACATTTCTTGCAGTGCTAAAAGATAGTACAAACAGCCCGAAATGACCCATTTTCAGAAAGTAGACACGCTAAGCTATCTGCTGAGAGGCATATTTAGTTCATGGAAGATTTATTTTTTTTTACACACATTTTTTTTTGCACAAAGTTGTCACTTAAATTATATATTTATCACACAAGCCATGGGTATATGTGGAATTACACCCCAAAATACAATCTGCTACTTCTACCGAGTGATACCACACGTGAAACTTTTTGGGAGCCTAGCCACATACAGGAGCCTGAAATCCAATGACCACTTTGAAAGCCTGAAGGTGCTTAACTTCCTCATTTCACTTCCTCATTACCTATCAGTTTCAGAGGCCCTGAAATGTCAGGATAGCACCCCACCCCCCCCAAATGACCCCTTTTTGGAAAGTAGACACCTCAAGAAATTTAAAAAGAGGCATGATGAGTATTTTGCAGATCTAATTTTTTCTTACAAGGTTTTGAAATATAAAAAAAGAAAAGAAAACATGTTTTTGTTTTGTTTCTTCATTTCCCAAAAACTTGCGACAACAAACAAGAACTGCAAAATACTTACCATGCCTCTTATCAAATTCCTTGGGATGTCTACTTTACAAAAAGGGGTCATTTTGGGGGGAGGGGGCTGGTGCTATCCTGGCATTTCAGGGCCCCTGAAACTGTGATAGGTAGTCAGGAAGTGTAATGAGGAAATAAAGCCCTTTAAAAGCCTGAAGGTGTTTATTGGATTTTGGGGTCCTGTACTTGGCTAGACTGCCAAAAATTCTCTCACATGTGGTACCCCCATACTCGGGAAAAGTAGCAGAATGTATTTTGGTGTGTAATTCCACATATACCCATGGCTTGTGTGAGCAATATATCATTTAAGTGACAACTTTGTGTAAAAAAAAAATGTTTTTGTCATTTTCCAAACACGTGTGCAAAAATAATAAATTCTTCTGTTGACTCAACATGCCACTCAGCAAATAGTTTGGGGTATCTACTTTTCCAAAAGGGGTCATTTTGGGGGGTGGGGGCATTTTATGCCCAGCATTAGAAGTTTATGCCACACATCATTCACACTTCTAACCACCTGAAGACCAAACCTTTTCTGACACTTTTTGTTTACATGAAAAAAATCTGTATTTTTTGCTAGGAAATTACTTTGAACCCCCAAACAATATATTTTTTTTAAAGAAGACACCCTAGTGAATAAAATGGTAGGTGCTGCAATTTTTTATGGCACATAGTACTCGCGCAGCGATTTTTGAAAAGCAATTAAAAAAAAAATACACTTTTTTTACTTTTAATGCACAAAACCACAATATATTGGCCAATTATTTGGTAAAATATAAAAAGATGATGGTGTACTGAGTTAATAGATACCAAACATGATATGCTTTAAAACTGTGCATGCATGCATGTGGTGACAAACTGCATACATTTTTAATATCCATAGGCAACGCTTTAAAAGCTAGCATTTTAGATTTACAGAGGAGGTCTAGTGCTAGAATTACTGCCCTTGATCTGACGTTCATTGCGATACGTCACATGCATGGTGCAACTGCTGTTTACATACCGGCACAGGGACAACGCTCGCACACGCAGGTGCACGCGCGCACAGGGGGGGTGAGGGTGCTTTTTTTTTTGTAAGTTATTTTGATTTTTTAAATTATATATTGTCCCTTTCATTTTTTTTTTTTATCACTTTTAATGCTATCACAGGGAATGCAAATATCCCCTAAAACTTCAATGGTCGTTGCCATATATTCTTTTTTGAGAAATGTGGGGTCTATCAGACTCTAGATATCTCCTCTGCCTTTACATTATCTAATCTCACCAAGATCGGTGTGATCAGATGCTTTCCCAATTTACAAATGGCGCTGTTTATATCCTGCGAAACTGAAGTGACGAAATGCTCGTAGCTTCCAATGATTTCTTAGACTATAGAGATGACACCATTACGGTCTCTAATCAGCTCTATGGTCAGCTTACAGAAACACCAGATGCATTCTCTGGTTCCCCCAATGGCACGGGTCTGCCTGAGAAGGCCATGGAAGGCAGTGGGGGAGCGAGGGCATCGTCTCCCGCTGCTTATAAAAGCAATCCTGCAGCTAATTAGCCACTAGGGTTGCTTTAACATGAAAGCCAATTGCTGGCTGAATAAAATGATACCAGGATGATGCCTGCAGCTGTAGGCATCATCCTGGTATAATCATTCAAAGTCCAGTAATGTACCAGTACGTCGCTAGTCCTTGTTGGGCATATATTTTGTTTATTTCAGGTACTTATATAGCATTGTCAATTTAAGCAGCACTTTACATATATATATTGTACATTCACATCAGTCCCTAACCCTCAAGGTGCGTACAATCTAAGGTCCCTAACTCACATTCATACATACACACACTAGGGCCAATTTTAGACAGGAGCCAATTCACCTAGCAGCATGTCTTTGGAGTGTGGGAGGAAACCAGAGTACACGGAGGAAACCCACACAGACACAGGGAGAACATGCAAACTCCAGGCAGGTGGTGCCGTGGTTGGGATTCGAACCAACGACCCTAGTAGGGCCAGGTGGAAGTGCTAACCATTTAGCCACTGTGCTGCCCATATATGCTATGTTCTTTTTTTTTTTTATGCAGCCTGTGGGCTGAATGCAATAAAGAGAAGAAATCTCTGTTGGAAAAAGTGTGGGGTATGCCCACCATTAGAATATACCGTCCTGTATCCACCCACTTCTAATGGTGGGCACACATTAGGTCGCGCAGTGCCACATACACCAATTCCAAGATTATACAAATGTCTAAATAGTGTCACGCTTGAATAAAAATGGTCCACGTATAAGTGGTACCCCATATCTAGAAAGGATACCAAGTCCCAAACTATCTTGCCACTACTCCCCATGTAGACTGGGCACCGGGGGGGCTCCATGTGACTATCTTTTCCCTCGTAAATCCGAAACTTATAAGTATAGCCTGTTGCCCTCTCACAGGTCTTATATATCTTGACCCCATATCTGGCACACTTGCTGGGGAGAAATTGTTTGAATGCAAGGAAAAATTAATGAAGGACTCATCAATGCAGATGTTTTGCTGGGGAGTATAGATATCTGCAAATTTTTGGTTAAGGTGATTTATGAGGGGACGAATTTTGTGGAGCTGGTCAAATTCCGGGTCACCCTGAGGACAACAGAGTGTGTTGTCGTTGAAATGCATAAAACACATTATATTCTCATATCTATGCCTGGTCATGGCAGCAGAGAACACAGGCATATGATGAATTGGGTCTGTGGGCCAATAAAACCACAATTAATTTCCTTTTAGTAATGCCCACGTTGAGGGTTAGGCCCAAAAAAAAATTTGAAATTCAGAAACCGTAATGGGTTTCCATACGAATGGTCTGGCGAGGTTTGAATTTGGTGGGCGATAAATTGTTGTGCATATACAGTAAATTGCTTTGATCCACAATCAATGCATACAGATCTTCCGTGAAAAACAGCTCCAAAAAATCAAGGGGAGTAGTTAAATTTGCTGTTTCCACCTGAATTCCAGGTTGGGCAGTGAATGGGGAAAGTACGGTGCTGCAAAATTTGTGGGCTGCCAATCGGGATTTGCAAGCACATCCAGAAGGACACTATGCGCCTGTGTGTGAATTCTTGGTGGCTGTGGGACAATATTTGTGCTCGCCATCGCACCAGCTTGTACTGCACTTATGGGACTCGCCACGTCACCAAGTGATACTGCAGTGCTGGTATGTGAAAAACCAGGATATACTAGGCCACTGGTGCTCGCCAGTTCACCAAAAGGTAGAGCGGCACTAGTACTGGCACTCTGCTGCATATGAGAGTCATCAAAATTTACCGGCAAGTGCTAGCAGAGATCAGGGCTGATCCTCAGAACGCTGCGGTTTTTGTGTGCAATGTATCAAGTGACAGTGACCTACTGATACTGCAGTTTCTGGGGAGAAGGGGGGGGTAAGCGCAGGGGCTAAACGCAGGTGCTGGCAGGGGCTGATCCCACTAACATTGTGTTTTTGGAGGCATGCAAAACTGCATCCAAATTAAATTTACGTCCTTTTTTCCCAAAAACTGAGCTTTCTTTCAGTGGTATATGATCGCCTGTGCGGTTTTTATTTGTTGCACTACAAAAAAAAAGCCCGACAATTTTGAGAAAAAAACAATATTTTGTACTTTTTGCTATTAAACATGTCCAGTAAAAAAATTTTAAAAATCAACTTTCGTCATATATTTAGGCCAAAATATATTCTATGACATGTCTTTGCTAAAAAAAAAAAAAATCCCAATACGTGTAAATTATTTGGTTTATGTGAAAGTTATAGCGTTTACAAATGGCAGTATAGATACTGGACTTTTTTTTATACTAATAATGGTGGTGATCAGCGACTTATGGCAGCGACCAGCGACTTATAGGGGGACTGCGGCGGGCATTCTGACACTGGGGGGAACTGACTTGGTGTCACTGACATCCCCAGTGACAACAATACAGTGATCAGTGCTAAAAAAAAAGCGCTGACACTGTACTAATGGCACTGGGCAGGAATGGGTTAACATGAGGTGCAATCAAATGGTTAACTGTGTGATGGGAGTGTTTTACCGGGGGGGTGTGTATTCTTCACTGTAAGCACACTGCTCTGGATGGCTGTGCTCAGCCATCCAGAGCAGTGTGCCCATACCGACAGGGAGGAGGACTGTTGGTAAATAAAGCAGCCCTCCTCCCTGTCGGTGATCGCCGGTAATCACCGGGCGCTGGCGGATAACCACCGGCCGGGACCCGGTGATTGACACTTGCGGCCGCGAATGGCTGCGTGGGTAGCTCGCGCGCCCCCTACCCCGACATGCAGAATGAGGTATATATACATGATCCTGAGCATAGGGGCCGCCCTGTAGCAGTATATCTACTATAGAGCGGTCCTTAAGCGGTTAATAAAGCTTACCTGTAAGTACTGTAAATACCACCTAAACATGCACTGTTTAGGAGATATTTATTACAGGTACTTATATAGCTTCATCAATTTACCCAGCGCTTTACCTATACATATACATTCACATCGGTCCCTAACCCTCAAGGAGCATACAGTCTAAGGTCCCTAACTCATATTCATTCATACACATACCAGGGCCAATTTAGACAGGATCCAATTCACCTACCAGCATGCCTTTGGAGTGTGGGAGCAAACCGGAGTACTTGGAGGAAACCCACGCAGGCACAGGGAGAACATACAAACTCTGTGCAGGTAGTGCCATGGTTGGGATTCAAATCAATGACCCCAGTGCTGCTAGGCAGAAGTGCTAACCACTGAGAAATTTACTTTAGACGCGCTGGTGATGTCATTGAGAGAGTCGTGCCTTGGCCGAGAGCATGTGCAGTAGTGACATCACCACGACTCGGCCAGTCAAACAGCCACAGCCCGCAAACCCGAAAGGAAGACCTGGTGAAGATGGAAGCTCCAGGAAGCCATGACAGAGCTCCATTGGAGTGCTTTGTTTTAGGTAAGTCTTTTATAATGTGCTAGTATGTGATGCATACTAGCACATGATGCTCTTAACTTGCAGGAAGAAGAATTTTATTAGATTTATTTTTTGCAGTTTACTATCACTTTAAGTGAAGAGCCTCTATTAATCTTTTAAAATATACCCTGTTCTTTCAATAGGACACATTCACATCAATGAGTTCTATTGCAGAGCAATGCAAAAAAAGGCCCGTTCATACCTTGGAACCCAGGTGCATTTCTTTAATACATGCATTTTTTGTGGACATTTGTTGTACTAAAGCAGCTCATTCCGATGAATGGAATGCAAAAAAATTAGACGTGCCATTTTTTGCAACACAGTGCACAGTAAAAAGGCATAGTAACACGTTACCATGCACTGTGGTGTGCTGCTTTGCAAAAAAAAAAAAAGGGAGTGTGTAAACTAGAGCACAGTGGAGGAAGCCAGCATGTCAAAGTTTTTGAAGTGTTGACTAAAAACATTTTTAGCAAGCTTGGGTCTTCAACAGAGCAGAGTGTTAATTATTTTCTTTGCAAACATGGCCTTACATTTAAGGGCCCATTCACACCAATGCAATGAATTACAGCCTGCATGGCAATGTGCAGTATGCCATACAATAAGGTTTGCTGTGTTAAGACAGCCCATTCATGTTAAAGGGGCTGCCAATGCATCATAACCCAAGCCAGACACTGTGCATTGTGGTACACTGCAACACGTGCATTTAGAGTTGCTCAAGGTGTGTTGGGATGCAAATTAAAAGGAAGGCATTACATAGGTGTAATGCCAACCTAACAAGGGGTTTGCACTCATTAAAAAGTCAGTCCACCCTACTATTAAAGTAAAAACTGGTGATTTTGTCATGAAGACCCTTGTTCAGGCACTTCATGTTATAGAATGACAGCACTTTGTTCCTATCTCTATATTGTGTTCCTATGTTGTCAAACTGTCTTTTGTTGCAGACTACAGGCACACTGGCTTCTGACAGAATCTTAAATTGTTTTTTGCAACACACATTACAGAGGTAGGACTCATTTGGGGTTATTTACAAAAACTGGAGAGTGCAAAATATGGTGCAATTCAGCATAGAAACCAATCAGCTTCCAGATTTTTTGCCAAAGCTTAATTGAACAAGCTTATCTTAGAAGCTGATTAGCTACCATGCACAGCTGCACCCATTTTGGTAAATCAACCCCACTGATACAACCATCAGAAAAACTTCCCTGGGAATTGCCATTCAAACATTGGTGGAGTACGTGCTTGTAGACCAGTGGTCTTAAAACTGTGGCCCGTGGGCCAGATGCGGCCCTTTGCTTGCCTTTGTCCGGCCCTTGGGACACTGATATGAGGCACAATTCCTTCCACTGACACCAGTGATGAGGTACTATTCCTCCCACTGACACCTAAGGTTAGGAACTATTCCTGCCATGGACACTACCAGTGAGGAACTGTTCTTTCCACTGATACCAATTTCTATTCCCTCTGGCCACAGTCCAGCCCCCTTAAAGTCTAAAGTACAGAAAACTGGCCCTTTTTTAGAAAGTTTGAAGATTCCTGTTGTAGACAGTAAGTGGCTGAAAGGAGGCCATGGGAGATTGTAATCGCTGAGACGAAAGAACAGGAAAACAACTTTAAAAAGTGTAAAAACAAGTATTTTATTGAGAATTTGTTTTATTTTATGATTGGCTGAAAAAAAAAACCTGAGTAATGTAGGGTCAGCTTTACAGCATCTGTGTCAAAAACAGAGTCTTGTCATGGAAGGGCAGAGCTGGAAAGCCTGAGAGAAGTTCTCAAATTTTCCTATAGGATCTGAAAATTGAGAAATTCAAACTACTAACCAGGGGCGGACTGACAACTCATGGGGCCCCCGGGCAATAGGGGATCATGGGGCCCCTGTGTCCTTGCCCAAACTCAAAAAAACCTATGAAAAAGGTACCAGGGGCATCTCATGGGGCCCCCTACTGACCCCGTGCTCTCGGGCAGTGCCCGAGTTTCCAAATGGTCAGTCCGCCCCTCCTACTAACATATGTGGTATAGGCATTCCAGTATTGGATGGACTGGACAAAGTATAAGAGCTTTACTGTATTGCAGCTGTGGCCAAAGCTTTTTTCTGCTATACTTCTCCTAATAATCACAGAAAGGAATGCAGTTTGTTCTGCACTCCTGCGGGCCCGTTTTCAACCAACAGTGGGCTAAAATCTGCTGTCGGCTGACATCACAGAACCAGTCTAGGCTGTGAAAAGATCCCGACCATATGGTCGAGATCCACCCAGAACCGTGGACGAGCACTTGGCTCATCCTCTCAGCTATCTGCTGTGACGATGAGCCAGCCCCTCATTCCCAGTGAGCGCTGGAGGGACAGAGCAAGGAGCCAAAGACTGACAGTACCAGCTCTCTGCTTAGAGCGGAGGGGAAGTTCTCTGTGCAAAGCCAGCAGGTTGACAGATACAGCATTGCTGTATTCATAGGTAAGCATAATGTTCTTTTTTTTTAATCAGCCCATACTTCGCTTTTGAGAGAATTTTTGTATTACACATATTGGACCAATATAAGATACTTTTTGGTTTAAGACAAGGAAATTTGACTGTCATTTGGTTAATTTTTTTTGCGTCCCCACTGAAGTTACCAAACTAACAAGGCCTAAAAAATTAGCACGCAGCACACATTTTTATAGCTTGATATATATGGTATATATTTCTATAAGCCCTTTTTGATATATGTAAGCCATATAATTTTTTTCTTGAGAGGGGCAGGGGTTGATTAGGTGGAGGTGTTTTGTAGTCCAACTTCAAGTATGAATTTCTATAAACTCTAATTTAATATATGCAAGGTATACTATTTGATAGGGGCAATAGTTTTTTGTTTTTGTTTTTTTAATTATTAGTATTTTATATATACCTTAGTGTTGCAATATAAATAATTACACCACCATTAGTGCCACAAAATAATGAATAAATCAAATAAACAAACCCCTCAAAAACTACATAAAAATACACTCATAAACAAACAAATGTGATTTTTTACACTTCAAAAATTCAGTTGAGAACACTATATGCTTGTTATACTTCTCTGTTTCTGAGTATATTTCTCAATTTATTAAAAACATAGTTTACTGAGGTAATGTGCAAGGTTGGATTTTCATTGTTGTTGGGAGTAAAAAGTGAAGTCACTGGATTACTTATCCGTCTGTACACTGAACACGGGGGGGGGGGGACTTTTTCTTTTAAAGGACTGGGATGTTATGTATATTTATAGCTATTTGGACTGAAATATATTTTGGATTAATTAGGAGAGACCACTGCGCAGTTTTTCACACATTTATGTGATTTTGTTGTAAGAATTAAAAAAAAATATTCTGTAGATTGTTATTAGCTTTTATCGTGTTATATTTGATTTTATACATGGAGTTTCACGGATATATACTGTATGTATTTTTTTTGTATTTTATTTTGTGGAATTTGGTCCCTTTTATTCAAGTATTTTTTTTCCTTCTAGAGGATATTTTATCCATAAGCTAGTAGAATTTTAAATGTTAGAGGTATTTTATTAGGAGAAATAGTTGCAATATGGATGGTTGCATAGAAGCATCGAGTCCTAAATAGCACCACATCAGGGGCTGACCATTTGGAAACTCGGGCACTGCCCGAGGGCCCGAGGTCAGTAGAGGGTCCCATGAGATGCCTCATGTACCTTTTTCATAGGCTTTTTTGAGTTTGGACAAGGACACAGGGGCCCCATGATCTCCTATTGCCCGGGGGCCCCATGAGTTGTCAGTCCGCCCCTGCACCTCATATTCGATCTGGGAAAGATAGTGTATTTTGCTATCCCAGGCTACAGTGGGTGGGATTATCAGTTTACTCAGGCCTGTCTCATTAGGAAAATTGTTCAGCAGAGTCTACATGGTAGGAAAGGGAGAGTGTTATAAAGCATGATGAACTGATCCTAGCTCCACCCTGTGATGAAGTCCTGAGGGCATAATGCGTAAGGCAGAGCCACAAGTATGAGGTCATCACTCTAGGAGCATTTCCAGGAGTTTGAGGAAGCAGAATTGTTCTTTATTAGCTTTATTAG